TATTGAAGATTACTTTTGGTGATAATGAGAAAGACTAGAAAATTAAACCTTATATGAGATTTAATTTCAAGCACCATTTAACGTTTTATTTCATTCCAATTTCACTTTCTACTTCTCTCTAGAACTCCTCCCCAAGCGTTTGGTCTTCGGTATGTGTCTTTAGACCCTCCTTAGCAAGACTTGAATGGGCTGTTCAAGTTAAACTGTATCTCCAACTACAGATCTGTCTCAGATTTCTCGATCCGTGAAGTTGTTTCTTTGCACTTGCATCTGATCGGTAAGTTTCTTGGGTATAATCATCTTCACTTCCAGATTTACAGATTTACAGATTTTCGATAAAAAATAATATCAAAATTTCTGAATATGATGTTTATATAGCCACTTTTTTTAAAAAAAAAAAAAAAATTTGCCATCATTGTATGACATAGCCACTTAACAATCTGCACAAAATCTCTTATGATCTTATTCTTCCGTTGTATTTTTTGCTGATACATCTATATTCTTTGATCCATATATAGTTCCAGAAATGGCAGCTGCGCTTGTTTCCTCAATCTTGAACCTAGTAGGAGAAGTTTCATTACAAGTAACAATGGGAACGGCGAGGCTGGGGGAAGATTCTCTAAATGAACTCAAAAGGCTTAAGAACAACCTTGCGATCTTAAATTGGATCTTTGACAATACAAGGCTAAAGAGGACTGACAGAGCTATCGAATTTTGGTTAGATGGGCTTACAGATGCAGCTTATGACTTGGTGGATGTGTTGGACGAGTGGAACGCTACGCACGGGAGGTTGAGAATAAAAGGAGTTGGAAAAACTTCTGTTCTGAAGGCTAAGGTAGGCTCCTTCGTCACCCACTGTTTACGTACTACCCAAGTTGTTAGGCGTGATGATCTTGCTTTCAAATTAAAGGAATTCAATGACAGGCTAGATGAGATTGCCACTGATCTAAATAAGTACCACTTGATATTAATTTCTACGTCGAGCAGATGGATTGATAGTACATTTGTTGATGTGTCAGAGATAATTGGTCGAGATGGGGTTAAGGGAGACATTGTAAGCAGTTTGTTTTCTGCATCTACTGAACAACTTAAGACAATTTCTGTTGTTGGCATGGGTGGGATGGGAAAGACAGCTATTGCTCAACTTGTTTACCAGCATGAGGTGGTTAAGCAGCATTTTGATCATAGAATATGGGTTTGTGTCTCAGGTGCATTTGACGAGTGTGAGGTTGCCAAAACAATAATTAAAGAAGTTGAACATGTTAAAAGATTTGAAGGAGCGCACTCCCTTAATTCATTTCCACTTTCTGCCCTTCTTGATAGAGTTTGTAGATCTATCCACGGAAAGAAACTTTTTCTTGTGTTGGATGATATGTGGGCAGATGACGTGTGGGCAGATGACGTGCGACACTGGGAAGGACTGATCCAGACTTTCAAACATGGTGCCCCAGGGAGTAGGATTTTATTAACTACTCGTAATGGTGAGGTGGCAAATATAATGGAAAGCTCTCATGTCTTTCATTTG